AAGATTGTGTAGTATTTGTCTTTCTGTGACTGGCTTATTTCACTTAACATAACATCCTCCAGGTTCATCCCTGTTGTTACAAATGATTCTATTACATTTATTGAATTAGCATTCTGATCATTGAAACAGTCAAGAAAATTCAATGTTTTTCTTGTAACTAGCCTATTTTGAGGATTCTGATATTGCCTGTCTTAAATCCAAGTCCCAAATATAGAATAATGAAACTGTTAAGATGTATTTTACACCTACAACTGTCTTCCTCCTGTTACACATATATTTTTGGTTTCCAAGACAGCTTCCTGGACAATCACAATGACTTGTTCCTTGGATTGCACAGCATTCTTTTTAAATTGCTCAACATCATTGTGAGAGCTGCTGCTTTTCTTTAAATTAAATCAAAGATTAAAAACAAGACTTTGGGAGGCCGAGGAGGGTGGATTGCCTGAGGTCAAGAGTTCGAAACCAGCATGACCAACATGGTGAAAACCCGTCTCTACTGAAAATACAAAAAATTAGCTGGGCGTGGTGGTGCATGCCTATAGTCCCAGCTACTCAGGAGACTGGGGCAGGAGAATCACTTGAACCCAGGAGGCAGAGGTTGCAGTGAGCCGAGATTGTGCCAGGCACTCCAGCCTGGGCAGTAAGAGCAAAACTCCGTCTCTAAATAAATAAATAAATAAAAATTAAAAATAAATAAATAAATAAAAATTTAAAATAAATAAATAAATAAAAATAAGGCAAAAAAGATAGGTTTCACTTTAAGACAATGACAGGTAAGCTGCTTGTTATTAATATAAATGTTTTGGTAATTCTATACTTTTCAGGTTGAGAAAAATACATTATTTGTGTAATGTACAAAGGTCACGGTATACAGCATTTTCCCAGCCTCCACCTGCCAATTCCAGAATGAACACACAGGTCAGATAATGCCCCTACATCCTCTCCTTCTCTGTCCAACATTGTCTCCGTGTCCTTGGCTAGACCTACCTCTGTTGTCCTTTGAGAGGAAGATTTTTCTAAGATTCCCTCAAGCAGATAGATAGCTTCTTCCTCTCATATCTCAAGCATTACAGAGTGGGGTGAATGTCCTTGTTTTGTAATGTGGCTTCTACACCATTACCTACCATACTTCTTTTAGGATCATCCACAGGCCTCCTGGTTTCAGACACGACACTGCCCTGAATATCTGATTACCTACCAGCCTCACATCCTCTCCACACCAATACCTGTCAGCACTCTCAGGGTGCTCCACAGGGCTGAGCCCCTCCCTGGCTAAGACTCCAGCCTCTCAGCGACACTGACCTCACCTGCACTGTGAATGCTGTTCACAGACACTGCACAATCTTCACATTCTCTCCTGTGCACATTCCCTTCTTTGACATAGCCTTTTCTTCTACCTTCTGGCTTGCTTTGCTCAAGCATCATGGGCAGTTGGTTCCTGACCTTTTTGGGGGCTTCAATCCATGACCTTTCAGTTTATACACCAGTCCCTCATCTTTACTTCTTCATACAACTGAGATCCAATGGACTTATATATTCAACTGACCTTTGATGGAACTATATATTCAACAGAGAGTTCATCTTGGTGCTCTCACAAGCATGCTGTTCTGGGCTGAGTTGTGTTCCCCCCAAATTCTCATGTTGAAGTTGTAACCCCTAATGTGACTGTATTTGGAGACAAGGACTTTAAAGAAGTAATTAAGGTTAAATGAGGTCATGAGGGTGTGCTCTAATCCAATGGGGCAGGTGTTCTTCTAAGAAGAGGAAGAGACAAGAAGAATGTGTAAGAATAGAGAAAGGGGCCATGTGAGGACACAGGGAGAGCAACTGTCTGTAAGTTCAGGAGTGAGGCCTCAGAGCAACCAAACCTGCTGACAACTTGATCTTGGACTTCTGGCCTCCAGAACTATATTTAAATGAATTTCTGTTGTTTAAGCCACCTAGCCCATGGTATTTTGTTATGGTGGCTCAAGGTGACTGTAGGCGTTCAATCAGGATGGTGGGAGAGATTGTAAAACTATAATAGTCACAAACCTTCTTGGAAGGCTGGAAGGTTTTTGCAAAAACCTTAGGAAGGAAATTATGGCTGAAGGCAGCCTAATCTCCTTTCCTTGTGCAAATGACATAGAGTACATACAAAGGAATGTAAGGGAGTTTATCTATGTAAGTTATTTACTCATGTGATCCTAAAACTAACCTTTATCCTTTGCAGGCCAGATGGCTCTCTCAGGGGGAGGGCGACCAGGTTTGGTGTTTGCTTTAGGCCTCAGAACCCGGCCTTTAATCATTATCCACAGGTGTGTTGACTCAGAGTGTCTGTTACTAAATATATACTGAATAAATGCCTGGAGTGCCAGTTGATCAGGGCCAGTGGCTGCTAACTCTCTCTGCGATGTCTGTGGCCACGTATCCCTAGCCCACTCTTTCACTGTGTTCTGTGTTTGAGTGTATTTATTCATCTGTCACTGGGCCAGGATCTGCCAGTCAGACTCCAACAGGTGACTAACACAGATGCTTTACTTCTTTTGGTCTGACCTCCCTTCTTTCCTAGCGCTGTAGTAAAACACCTACTCATCTGCCTCATAGTCAACCCCTGAACAAAACTCATGAAATTTATCAGTTATTAAGTAAACATGAAAGGCTAAAGTCCATATTAAAAGTTAACACCATTTGGTTTGACAGCAAATGTAACACCAGCTACATGCTGCTGCTTAAAAGCAAAACACCCAAATGACATTGTTTTTATTTTAAAAAGATGAACAATAAAATACCAGAAATATGCACAAGAAAGTGTCATGCTAAGACTAATAAGAAATAAAGTGGACGTAAAGAAAAGAATATCGCATGGAACTATGAGAATTTCAGTACTAAAAACATCATTAATGAATATTATCATGAGCCTTTATATATCTAATAGTATAATAAAGTGAAATATCACACAAAAACTTAAAAATAAATGAAGAACTTGATATAAATTACAATGACTGTGGAGACCATTAGGATTCCTTCTAACAGATGAACAGTAAGGATATAAGCAAGTTGAAAAATAGAAACAATTTATATTATGTATGCTTTAGTCCTTCAATTCAAAGACAGAATTAATGAATTTTATAAAAACAAGAGGAGAAAATTTCCTACCTAGAAAATGATAATATATCCTTCTGTGCACAAAAAATTTATAAAATTGTCAAAAGAATTTAAAAAATTAAAACACATATGTAATTTCTTGAAGTTATCTATGCCTCTGTCATTTAAAAATAATGCAAAGTAGGATGAAAAATTCTCAGCAGCCCCTTGTCCAACCCTCCCCAATTCTATCCCCACAGAGGTAACCATTAGTAATGGTAAATAGCAACAGACTTCTACGTTCACATAAACATATGGATATATACTCTTTCACACCCTTCTCTTTATTTAACAAAAAACTTAACTGCATAATGTACAAAGTCCTATAACTTTTTCACTTAATAAGGTATTCAGTGTCTGATTTAAAGAAGATAAAGAAAAATCTGATTATAATTAGTGAATAGAGAGGAAATCTCACAACAAATAAAAGTGTAGTAAAAGTAAATGGAAATTGCAGAACTGAAAAACAAGTGAAATGAAGGATTCACTGGTCAGAGCTTAGCATATGGAAATGACAAACGAGACAGTACACTTGAAGACGGACCAACAGAAATCATCCAATCTAAAGAACAGGGAGAGAAAAAGATTTTAAAATATGGAAAGGATCAATAACCCATGGCATTATATAAAAAGGACTTATATACATGTACCTGTAGTCCCAAAAGGGGACACAGAGAATCTGGCAGATAAAAACATGTAAAGGAAGAATGTACTTAAGGCAGTCACATCACAGTGGAACTGCTGAATACCAAAAGTACAGAGAAAAGTAGCCAAGGAAATAAAGCTAAATTATGTTCAATGGTGACTTCTCCATTAGAAACAATGGCAGGCAGAACAATGGAATGTTATCTTTAAAGTGCTGCAAATATAACCAGTGTAGAATTCCGTATCTAGTGAAGACACACTTCAAGAATGAAGGTAAAATAAAGACACTTTCAGAAGCAATAGAGAATACACTGCCACCTGTACCACAAGAAATGCCAAATGAGGTCCTTAAAGTTCAAGAAAAATAATACCAAAGGTAAACTCAGGTTTAAAAAAAAAACCAGAAAATAATAAATTATCTGGATGAGTTAAAGACCATTTTTTCTCTTAATTAAAAAAATATATGGTAGAAAATAAATACATATGAGTATTTATAAAATAAACATTTTAATATTGTAGTAAGGAGTGTATAATACAAATAACAAATATAGCATAAAGGATGTTGGGGGGGGTGACTGGAACTGTGCAATTGCAATGCCTTTACATTTTATATTTTGCTCAGATTAAATATTAATAGAATATACAAAGTTAATGTATTGTACTCCCTTAGAGCACAGGCTAGCAGATTTTTTCTTAAAGACAGTCAATAGTTCAGGCTTTGATGGTTAAGAGGCAAAATTAAGGATATTATATAGATAGTTATAAAACATTATAAAATATAAAAGCCATTCTTGAATAGCTCACAGTTTTTTTAGAATTCCATTTCAATTTCTCTATTGACTTTTTAGATTTCTTCCTCCCACTGGACTTGCCTTCCTTCTTTAGGTCACAGTTGTTTCCATATTCTTGATGATCTTTTTTAAAAACAATAACAAGAGAAAGAAGCCCATAAATATGGCAGAGAACTGAGTGAGCTAGAGAGGAGAAACCCAGTGGGAGGAAGGAAGGCTTCCTAGCGGAGGAAGGAGACAAGAGACCCACCAGTAAAGACCCATCCACATTCAAATGAAGATGGAGATCTGGAAGGAGGCCGTGTCAGGCAATCTAAACAGAAGCCCAGGAGGTCAGGGGAACAGCTTCCCTCCCCAGCACCTGATCAACGCCTCCTCTCCCCCAGGCCTCTGAGCTGCTGGGCTGCTGTCTCATTTGGCCAGTGTTTTCCCACTCACCTGGACAGGTGGCCGGTGGGCATTTTTTCTCCTCTCTCCAGGTCTCTTTCCCTTGCTCCAGTTGGGTGATGATTTCTGGTTTAGAAAATGAAATTCCTACTCACAGGAAAAGAAAATACGGTAACTAGATTACGGGCTCAAGCGCCCATTCAGTAATTCAGAGCCACACTGGCTAGGAAACTTCAAAGGTAGTACAAAGCCCTGAGATGAATGGGGTGAGTGGGGTTCTCAGAAATGGAAGGGATGAGTAGGCAGTGAACTCAGACGAGAGCACACTGATTCTATTCCATGCTGGGTAGATGAACATCTCTCTCATTTAAAATGAGTTAACATAGGAAGAGAGCCCCAGCCTGAGAAAAAAGGACTAGAAATGCAGAGTAGCACACACATATACATATGTACACACACAACAAATCTATCCATTTTCACCTCTGCAAAATCAGACCCTCCCTGGAGAAACAGATATAGAATGTGGTTGCTTTTTAGTCCAACCCAAAGGTCAAGTCATAGAGCAAGATGGCTGCTTCAAGCATAGCCTAAAATTCTCACCAAAATGAGAATCCAACAGATACCATGCTTACCCAGTGAGACGAGGTTGCTGTAGTTCTCCAGCATCACCTCTCTGTACAGAGTCCTTTGAGCAGGACTCAGCAGACTCCACTCATCCTGGGTGAAATCTACAGCCACATCCCTGAATGCCATGTGTGCCTGTAACACAAAACCAAGCCCTGCTCACTCAGAAACCAGCCTTGCCCATGGCAGGGTGAGGGGCAGGGAGAAGGCTGCCCTGAGGGAGGCAGGTGAGATATCAAGACCCCCACCTTTGACAGAGACCCTGGTGCCATGGTTCCAAGACTTTTAAATCTCTGTCTCTATCTAGGCAGTGGCATTTGGAAACCTATATAGTCAAGGTTCTGGGGGGGGCATACAGGGTGTATGTGCAAAAAATGGAGTCCCTACATTTGGGGAACTTTCAATCTACACAGACAGAAGAGCAAGCAACATATAAAATTTAAGCAACAATAAAGGTTAACAGATTTTCTGAGTTTTAAGAATTTACAAGATCAAATAGTCCACTACAACTCAGTAATTCCTCAAAATCCTATGGCTTGGCTTTCTCGGGCCTGATGGTCAGAAGCAGAGAGTAGTGAAGCACTGGAAACATAGTGCCTGGGTTTGAGACCCACCTCTGCCACCAACTAGTATCCCAGTTTTCTTACCTGTGAAATGTAGAGAACAGTTCATTAAACTTCAGGCCACAGACTGTGAGTGCTCACCATGGAGCTTCTTGGCTATTCAGTCCAAAATCATCTTTGCACCTTGTTCTCATGCCCCTGCCAGTCTTATTCTTTTAATTTTCTTAGCACAGAAAATTGAAAGAATAAGACTGGCAGAGGCATGAGAAAACCATTTCTAATCTCTATTCCAAAACCCTGGAATAGGCACTACAGATGAGGCATGTGGGGTGCAGGGATAAGGATGTTATGAGCAAAGGAAGAAAGGAAGCCAAAATGTGGGCAGGGACGCCCCCAAGGAGGAATAAAAACCACCTCCTGGTAGAATCCAGAACTTTTTCATCATCTCACATCGAAACACTGTAACTATTAAACAGTAACTTCCCATTCTTCCCTCCCCCTAGATCCTAGTAATGATCATTTTGCTTTCTGTCTCCACTATATATGTGGTTATTCTATGCAGCTAAAATAAGTGTAATCATATACGTCCTTTTGTGTCTGACTTATTTCACTTAGTATGTCTGCAAGATTTATCCATGTAGAAGTATGCACTCAGAATTTACTTCCTTGCTAAGGCTAAATAATACTAATACTCCATTGTGTGTATACACTACATTTTGTTTATCTATGCATCTATTAATGGACATTTGATTTGTTTCTATCTTCTGACTATTCTTCCATGCACACGGTTGTATAAGTATTTGTTGGAGTCCCATCAGTTTTCTTGGGTATACACTGAAAAGTGGAATTACTGGATCAAACAGTAATTCTATGGGAACCACCATACTGTTTTCCACAGCAACTGTACCATTTGCATTCCCACCAGCAATACACAAGGTTCTATTTTCTCCACATCCTTGTCAACACTTACTGCTTTCAGGTTTTGGGGTTTTTAAAAGTAATAACCATACTAACGGGTATAAGGTGGTATCTCATTGTGGTCTTCATTTGCATTTTCCTAATGTGAATGACAGTGAACATCTTTTCTGGTGATTATTGGCCGCCTGTATATCTGCAAAAATGACTATTCAAATCCTTTGTCCATTTTTAAGTTGGGGTGTTCTTTTATTGTTGTAAGTTGTAGGAGTTCTTTATAAATTCTAAATATTAATCCCTTATCAGACATGTGACTTGCAAACATATTCCCTTCCTTTGATGAATGAGTTTTAAATTCTGATGAAGTCCAAGTTCTCTATTCCTTCTTTTTATTGCCTATGTTTTGGTATCATTTCCAAGAGATCACCACCAAATCCAACGTTATAAAGATGTCCCCCTATGTTTTAATCTATAAATTTTATAGTTTTCATTCTTATGTTTAGGTCTTTGATCCATTTTCAGTTAATTTGCATATATAGTGTTAGGTAAGGATTCAACTTCATTTTTCGGCATATAAATATACAGTTTGCCGAACAGTATTTGTAGAATATACTGTCTTTTTCGTGTCGAGTGGTCTTGGCACTCCTGTCAAAAAGCATTTCACCATATACACAAGTGTTTATTTCTGGGCTCGCTGTAAGACTTGTAAGTCTATTTTTATGCCAGTACCATGGTTTGGGTTACTGCTGCTTTGTAGTAAATTCTGAAATCAGGAATGGTAAGTCCCCCAACTTGGTTCTTTTTCATGGTTGTTTTAGGTATTCAGTGTCCCTTGAGATTCTATATCAAGTTTAAGATGAATTTTTCTATTTTTCATATGGCTTCATGTAACTGTCAATGTCCTTTTATTTCAACCTGAAAGACTCATTAATATTTCTTGTAGGGTAGGTCTAGTGGTTGTAATCTCCACCAGCTTTGACTAATCTGAGAATGTCTTAATTCTGCCTCAGTGGTGAAGGGCAGTTTTGCCAGATACAGAATCCTTGGTTGTCAGGCTTTTCTTTTAGTGCTTTGAATATATCGACCCACTGCCTTCTTGCCTGAGAGGTTTCGTCTAAGAAATTTGCTAATAATCTTATTGATAATCCCTTATATGTAACAAGTTACTTTTTTCTTGTTGCTTTCAAAAATCTGTCACCTTTGGCTTTTTATGCTCTGATTACATTGTGTCTCAGTGTGAGTCTTTTTCAGGTTTTCCTACTGTAGTTCATTGAGCTGCTTGGATGTTTATAGTCAAGTTTATAGTCAAGTCTTTCATCAAACTTGGGACGTCCTCAGCCATTATTTCTTCAAACAATCTCTCTGTCCCCTTTTCCTCTTCTCCTTCTTGGAATCCCATAAGGCAAAGTTGATTCATTGGATAGTATTCCATAGTTTCTTTAGGCTCTGCTTACTTTTCTTTAATCTGTCTGTGTCCCTCAGACTTGATAATTGTCCTGTCTCCTGGTTTGCTCTTTCTTCTGTCTGCCTAAACCACTTCTGAATCCCTTTAATGAACTTTTCTTTTCAGTTATACCTTTTAACTCCAAAATTTATCTTTGGTTTATTTTTGTTTTCTGTCTCATTACTGATATTTCCAGTTTGTTCTTACATTGTTTTCTTGGCTTTCTGCACACCTTCCTTTAGCTCTTTAAGATGGCGATTTTAAAGTCCATTATCTGGTCTTGTCAGGATGTTTTCAGTTTATTCATTTTTTTCCCTTTGAATGTTCCATACTTTCCTAATTGCCTTATGATTTTTGTCAAAAACTGGACATTTAAGTCTTACAAAGCAGCAACTCTGTAAGTCTGTTTCCCTTTTGTTTGTATTTTTGTTTTTTTATATTGATGTAGGGTGTCTCCATGCTAAGTATCAGCCTGAGTTGTAAGCTTAAGGTCTTCTCAGGTGTTTTCTGAGCCGGTGCGTTTCTATGGGTATTCCTTCTACATTCCCTCTATATGCAGTTGCTTTTTAATATAGTAGTCCTGAAATATTTGGCTCTCAAAGGAGAAAAAGAGAACTTAAATAGGGGAAAACAAACTCTGGCTCCTTAAATCCCCGAAAAGCCACTTCAGCTAATGGGGGTTACAACTAGCTGATGTAGCTTTTAGGGGATTTAAGTGGACCACCTCTGTAATCAGAAACAGCAATCAGAACACAGATATTCAGTATTTGGAGTAAAGGGCCCTTATTGTCCACTGTGTATCCCACAAACCATGTAAAAGGTGATCCAGGGACATATGCCAGCTACCTGCCATAGGGCTGTCACGGTGGATTTTAAGTATCTGCTACGATACTAAGAGCTAAAATTCGCTGTGACTTACACTCTATGCCTCCCCCTGGGAGCTGGAGGCCTTCAACTAGACTCCAGATTTCCAAAATAGGTACACCTGACAGATTCTGCCAGCATAACTGTTGTCTAGGTGGGGACACAGATTCCAAAATATTCCCATTCCATTACTATGACGTTACTCTCACGCAGTAGAACTTTTGAAGCTGAACAAAGAAATGCAGACTCTATCTCAAATTGTAGAACTGTGTTGTTCAGTTAACTACTAGATGAATAACTGTTTCATGGGTTGTGCAAACAGCGATGCTGAGGCAGGGAAGCAAGTAAGAGGAATTGGAGCTAAACTCTACTAGGCACCAACAGGCCATTCAGGGTAAAAGAAGGGCATGTGTCCATCCCGTTACAGCCAGTAATGGAGACAGGAAACACTCACCATTTCCCTGGCTCTCCGGGACCCTGTGGCCTTTTTTCCTTGTCTCCCTAAAGAAGGATGATATCTCAGAAGGTAGATCTGGGTAAGGAAAACAGAAATGAGAGGGTGTCAGGTGGAAATGCTCTCCCCATGAGTAAAGCAGGGCCTGCTCATTAACCCCACAACTGGGGGAGCAGCAGCATAATGGGGAATGCATAAATCAAGGAAAAGATACTGCTTGGAAAAAGCAAAGGGAAAGGAAAAACAAGCAAGAGAGGCTAACCCAAGGTCTTGCAAAACAAAAGAGAAAAACAAAACAACAACAAAACCCAAAAAACACACCACCTCTGCTTCCCCTGCAATCCAGTAAAGAAACTGCACTGTGCTATACTGACAGAAGCATTTTCCTGAACTAGAGAAATCTGAGAAACACTAGAATCCGATTGTTCTGTTTGCAAAAATGCAGACATGTAAACAGCTGTAATCCATTTAAAAAAAAAAAAGAAAAGAAAAGAAAATGAGAATCCAAACAATTCAACCAAAGAAAATTCCACCAAAAAAAAAAAAAAAAAAAATTCAAAAGCTTAGAATAGAAATGGACAAAAAAATAAAAAAACAAAAAGATTTCAACAAACTTTTGAAAGAAATCACAGAAAAAGACAAAATTAAATGAGAAATAAAAAACTTATGAGACAATCAAGGAGGAATAGCTTGAAATGAAAACATGATGAGCACTCAGTAACAGCAGAAAACAAGAAAATGAGGTGAAATCAGTAAAAAGGATCAGAGAGAAAGAAGCTGGAAAGGAAAACAGACAAAGAAGTAATATTCATATAATTATAGTTCCTGGATACCGAAACAATGCAAATGTTTAAAAGTATAATGTAAGAAAACATTTCAAAAACAGATGACCTGAACCTAAATATGAAAGGGCCTATGGGATCTGAGGGAAAAGCTGACTCATGACCACCAACTCTAAGACATCCACTAGAAAAACAGCCGGGCGCGGTGGCTCAAGCCTGTAATCCCAGCACTTTGGGAGGCCGAGGCGGGTGGATCACGAGGTCGAGAGTTCGAGACCATCCTGGTCGACATGGTGAAACCCCGTCTCTACTAAAAATACAAAAAATCAGCTGGGCATGGTGGCGTGTGCCTGTAATCCCAGCTACTCAGGAGGCTGAGGCAGGAGAATTGCCTGAACCCAGGAGGCGGAGGTTGCGGTGAGCCGAGATCGCGCCATTGCACTCCAGCCTGGGTAAGGAGAGCGAAACTCCGCCTCAAAAAAAAAAAAAAAAAAAAAAAAAGAAAAACTATTAGACTTTAAAGAACAACAACAGGAATCCAAAGTGACTCTAAGCAAAAAAATATGAGTTCTACCAGATTTTTTGAAATTATCGTTTAACCACTGCACATTGCTGGTGGGAATGTAAAATATGGTGCAGCCACAAAATAGTATGGTGGTTTCTCAAAAAATTTAAAACACAATTATTAGGTAATCCATCAATTCCACCTCTGGTTATATATGAAAAGAATTGAAGGTAAGAACTTGAACAGATACTTGTACACCATGTTTATACCAGTATTGTTGACAATAGCCAAAAGGTGTAGGCCACCCAAGTGACCAAGACTGAATGAACAAAGTGATATATATATATATATATACACAATGGAATATTATTCAGACTTAAAACGGAAGGAAATTGACACATGCTACAACATGAACCTAAAAGGCATTGTGCTAAGTGAAATAAGCCAGAAATAAAAGGACAGTAAGATTCCATTTATATGAGGTACCTAGAATAGTCAAACGGTGGGTGAGAGGGCTCGGGGAAGGGAGAATGGGGAGTTAGTGCTTAACTGGTATGGAGTTTCAGTCTGGGAAGATGAAAACATTTCTGAAGATAGATAGTGGGGATGGTTGTCCAACAATATGAATGTGCTTCATGCCACTGACTTGGACACGTTAGAATGATAAATTTTATGTTATATATATTTACTACAAAAAAAAAAAGGTCTGGCCAAAAATCATCATTCAAAGCAAGACATGACAGGGGAAACTTAGCAAAAAGACTGCTGATTAGCTTTTTTTTTTTTTTTTGAGACGGAGTTTCGCTCTTGTTACCCAGGCTGGAGTGCAATGGCACGATCTCGGCTCACCGCAACCTCCGCCTCCTGAGTTCAGGCAATTCTCCTGCCTCAGCCTCCTGAGTAGCTGGGATTACAGGCACGTGCCACCATGCCCAGCTAATGTTTTGTATTTTTAGTAGAGACGGGGTTTCACCATGATGACCAGGATGGTCTCGAACTCTCGACCTCGTGATCCACCCGCCTCGGCCTCCCAAAGTGCTGGGATTACAAGCTTGAGCCACCGCGCCTGGCCGATGAGCTTTTAATATACATAATTGTAAGCCTAGCACTAAAAGGAGGAGAAGAGAGAGAGGAAGAAAACACATGCTAATGTTTTAGGGCAGTGTCCTGATAATGTAGAAATGCCACCGAAATTCAAGACACAGGGGAAGAAGAAAGTAGAAAAAGGCTGTTGATCATACCATAGGCAATAGGTAGGAATTCAAGGGAATACACAAAATAAAATTATAGAATTGCTTTAAAAATAATGGTAATTAAAAATACTACATATATACAGGATTTATTTAAAACAGTGAGGTAGGCTGGTGCGGTGGCTCACGCCTGTAATCCAAGCACTTTGGAGGCCAAGACAAGCAGATCACCTGAGGTTGGGAGTTTAAGACCAGCCTGACCAACATGGTGAAACCCCGTCTTTATAAAAAAATAAATTTAAAAAACAACAAAAAAAAACCCAGTGAGGTAAGGTAAGGGAAATTATAGCTCTAAATACTTTTATAAATAAAAAGGAAAGAAAAGAATCTGGCCTGGACAACACAGTGAGACTTCATCTCTACCACACACACACACACACACACACACACACACAAAGCCAGACACACACCCCTATGGTCCCGGCTACTCAGGAGGCTGAGAAGGGAAGATCACTTGAACCTGGGAGGTTGAGGCTGCAGCCAGCCTGATTGTGTCACTGCACTCCAGCCTAGGTGACAAACTATGACCCTGCCTCAAAAAAAAAAAAAAAAAAAGATAAAGTAACCCCAAAGAGAGCACAAAGGCAGGAAATAATAAAGGTGAAAGCAGAACCTAATGAAAATAAAGCAGCAGATGTGACAGACCAAATCCTATTCTGTCAAAAAAAAAAGTAGACAAACACCAACTAACTTAAAGAGAGAAAGCATAAATATTCAAAATAAGAAGTGACATGGATGTGAAGGTGATCTGGCTGCGACCTCTGTCACCACATCGATCGCCAGGGTTGATCCCAGATTATCCGGCTGGCTAGGCAGGTGGTTGCCTTCCTCTCTCACTGCTCCACATGTGTCCCTCTGGAAGCTGTGCGCTCAGTTGAGGAAGATGACCATCTCTCATGGAGGAGGACCGGTCTTTGGTCAAGGGTATATGGGTAGCTGCGCTCCCCTGCTAGAACCTCCCAACAAGCTCTCAAAATGAAAAATGACAAAGGGAAAGTCACCAAAAAGCATCTTTTTAAAAGTCACGTAAGACTACTTTGCAGATCTCTCTATATAAATGTGTAGACCTAAATGAAGTGAACAACTCCCAAAATTAACTCCAGATAGTCACAAGGAAATTCTACCAAACCTTCAAACTAGGTAGTCTTTTTGCTCCAAATACTGTCCCAAAGCATTGAAAACTGAAGGGAAAAGTCCTCATTTTTTTAAATAAAGCAAGGATACCATGAGGATCTTAACCTGATGACAGTTCAAAAACAGAAAATTACAGACTAATGGTCACTTACAAATATTGAAGCAAAATTCTAATTAAAATATTAGCAAAAAGACTCCAACATAACAATAAAATATTTCACCATGGGCCGGGCGCGGTGGCTCAAGCCTGTAATCCCAGCACTTTGGGAGGCCGAGGCGGGTGGATCACAAGGTCAAGAGATCGAGACCATCTTGGTCAACATGGTGAAACCCCGTCTCTACTAAAAATACAAAAAAAAAAATAGCTGGGCATGGTGGTGCGTGCCTGTAATCCCAGCTACCCAGGAGGCTGAGGCAGGAGAATTGCCTGAACCCAGGAGGCGGAGGTTGCGGTGAGCCGAGATCGCGCCATTGCACTCCAGCCTGGGTAACAAGAGCGAAACTCCGTCTCAAAAAAAAAAAAAAAAAAAAAAATATTTCACCATGGCAACGAAAAATTTATCCAGGATTGTAAGACTGGTCCAATTTTAGGGGATCTATTTTTACAGTAACACCATAATAACAGATGTAAGGAGAACTCACGATTGCCTCGATACATAGTAAGATACTCTACCCAAACTCAACATCACTTCTTCAAAAAAAAAACAAAAACAAAAACTCAAAAATACAGAATCGACAGATTTTTAAAACTTTTTATTTTGCACTAATTTTAGACTTACAAGGAAGTTGGACAAATATAAATTCCCATACCTTCCACCCAGGTTTCTCTAAAGTTAACATCTTAGAAAACTATACTACCACCATCAAAACCAGGAAATTAACATTGATGCAATACTATAAACGGCAGACCTTAATTAAATTTTGCTAGTTTTTCCACGAATGTACTTTTTCTGGTCCAGGATCCAGCTGAGGTTTCCATATTGCCTTTAGTTGTCATGGATCTTTAATCTCCTCCAATCTGTGACAAATCCTCTGTCTTTTCTCACCTTTCACAAACTTGGGGCTTTTGAAGAGTATCCCTCAATTTTGGTTTGTCTGATGTTTTTTCGTGATTAGAATGAGTTTTTCATTTCTGGTTAGAATACCTCAGATGTGATGCTGTGTCCTTCAACATATCAATGAGTTCATGATATTGTTATGTCTTTTTACTGGCGAAATTAACCTTGATCTTAATCACTTGGTTAAGGAGGTGTCTTCTGAGCGTTTGTAAAGTCACTACATTTCCCTTTATAATTAAATAAATATCTTTCGAGAGATACTTTGGAATTATACAAATATCCTATTTCTCTCCAAACTTCCAGCCACTAATTTTAGCATCTATCTGTGGAATCTATCTGGAAT